TAGACCATATTTCCAGTGAACTTAACTGACAAAACTTGAAATGGGTTATCAATCACCACTACCAACCCTACAAACTAAATCTTTTAAACTGCTGGACACTCTTTCTTAATCTTAATCTAGCCAATGGTTAAATAATTTGATTTTGTTTTGTTTATTTCAATTTAAAACTAACTACCGTCGGTACAAACCGAAAATGAATAAAAACTTCATACGCAATTTAATTTTAAAAAGACATTTAAAAACAGTGTTAATGTAAACATAAACAATAATCCAGTCTGTGACCAGGTTATGTTAAGCCTTATTGTCACCACTACCATCGACTATATAAACACTTTACTTCTCACTTTCGATCAGACAAAATACAAAAGCGCTGCGGCGCTGCCAACCGTCCAAGAAAAAATACCCGCCTTGCAGTTCACACTGAAGTAGGGTGGTAGTTCGACGTACAACATACAAATGCGCTCCGCTTTCTCCCATGATTATATTATTTTACGTGACGAAGTGGGGATGTAGAAGCGCCAGAAAATATATTTAATCTCTTACTCTTCTAGTAAGTAGCTTACCACAATTCCATTAAAACTACGAATTAAATTATTCTAACACTTATTCATAAGCCAATTTTGGGCCCCAATGCTTCTGCGCCATTGGCTGGGCCTCTGCCGCCAATGCCTTGCTACGTCTCACGGGCAAAAATTGTGTTTTTCAACCATTACTCATTTCTTGATCGAAAACGTTAAACTTTAACTCGGGTCGGAAAAATTCGCTTTACACCCTAGGTGAAATATACCATCATCACATTTTTAATCGGTATATACACCAGTGTACCCAAATAAATTTAAAGCCAAACACTTAAAGGAAGCCACCCAGGCCATTAAATACAAGTTTATAACAAACATGTCCTTATTTTTAAAGTCATAAAAAATTGACTGTAGTCTATTAGAAGCTGTCAGTGAAACTAATGTATCAACTGTAGATTTCAATTGTGCATTCTTGGAACTATTCTAGGTCCACACCGACCGTATCCTAATCCTAATTTCTATTTTACAGAAAAGAAGATTTTCAAAAAATGATTAAAACCATGAAATTCATGAAATTTTGACCAATGGATACATGGCATGAAATTAGTGCAGAATATTAATTAGTATATGCCTAAACACCTTGTTTGAAAGTAGCTACTGTCCAAAGATCAGCCAATAATATACTAAATAGGATATCAACTGAATAGAATTTCAATGGAATATGCTAAATAAAACACACCTAAAAATACATCTCAGCCTACTGTTGGAATATTAACTAAAAAGTGGTGAAGCAAAATCCAAACGACTAACATCAAGTTGGCAAATCCATGTGAGTCAGAGCTCTGGCGAATCAAAGTATAATCAAAGTCTATCAGAGCAATTGCAAAAATGTGTGACAAAGATTTACCAGCAAAAGCGCTTTCAGATGGCCAAACTAAGAGCGTTAGGCTTGGAAACAAAACATCGAATCAATGTCCGATATGTTACAAAACATTAATGACAAAAGTCAGTCTGAAAAAGCATATTACGTTAAGGCATCCTGAAGGGCCTTTTGTAAAATGTTCAATATGTAACAAAACATTAAAATTCCTTTCTCTGAAGTTCCATATGTTTAACCATTCTGATGAACGACCTCTAAAATGTGCAGTATGTAGCGAAACGTTCAAGTCTAAAACAAAATTAAAGGTTCACATGCCAAAGCATACAGGTGTACTTCCTGAAAAATGTCCGTTTTGTGAAAAACGTTATGCATATAAACATACATTGAAGGAGCATATTGTGATGCATAAAGACATTCGACCTGAGAAATGTGCTTTATGCAGTAAATCATTCACAAAGAAGACCTATTTAAGGGACCATATGATGACACATACTGGCGAACGTCCCTACAAGTGTCTAATGTGTGAGAAAACTTTCGCTAAAAAATTTAATTTAAGGACGCATATGTCATTGTGGCACCCAGATGAACAGACTAATAAGAGTGTCGCCAAAAAATCTCACGCAAAGGCTCCTACTTCACAGCAACGAAGTGAAATATGTGTGATTTGTAAACAAACGTTTAAAAAATTTAGATATTTGAGGCGGCATATGCTGAGGCATACCGGGGAACGACCTTGGAAATGTTTAACATGTAATAGAACATTTTCAAGGTCAGATGTTTTGAAGCTTCATATTGACTCATACTAATGAACGCGCTGAAAAATGCCCAACATGTCCTAAAACATTCATTCACAAGTACCAATTAAAGAAGCATATGTTAACGCATTCGTCTGATACGTCAACACACACACGTCAACAGCATGAAAAATGTCCAAAGTGTTCTCAAACGTTCACACGAAAGTGGTCGTTAAAGCGGCATTTGTCATCACATAGCTCCAAACACAAATAGAACATGAGATCCGTATAGGACTTTTGAATATGATGCATTAAATCATATATCTAATCTGTTCTTTGTACTAATCCCATCTTCTCTATAACATTCTTGATTTAGGTGTATTTATTTTATTCGTTCTTGTTGTTATATACATATACAAGGTGACAATTAAGTTTTAGGACGAATGTATAACTTTGTAACGAAAAGAGATATCTCAACCAAATTTGGCATATCATTACTAGTAATAATAATCTACTAAAAAATTACACAAAATGAAAGGTCCTGTTAAACGGAAAGCAATGCCGCAAATCAGAACACAAATGTACAATTGAGCCAAAAATGACAGCTGTTCAAAGATTAATTGAATTTGCAATGGCACTACCTCCTCAGGGGCGTGTGCCAGAAGCTAGGAGAAAATCATAAACGTAAACATAGGATGGTATAAGCACCTCAAATTAAAGGTCTTCATTCGTAAGATACAATGCCGCACATTTGAGCTAAAAAAAACAATTAAGAATAAAATGGCAGCCGTTTAAAGATTCAAAATAGCAGATTCAAGAAATCTTTGAACGGCTGCCATTTATGACTTTTTGCCTATTTAAAGTCTGGTTTGCGACATTGTTTCTAGTTCAACAAGACATTTAATTTGATGTACATATCGACATAGGCTTAGTCTAACCTTTACTCCCTATGGGCCGTCCCACATAGGTTAATCCGATCATCATGTACACAGAAAATTACAAGTGATGACGTGCCAAATTTTGTTGTGTTACCTCTTTACGTTTTAAATTTATAGAGTCGTCCTAAGACTTAATTGTCATCCTATATATATTTAAGTCATTGCTAAAGGTCAATTTAAATGTGTCATTATTTGTACTGTACATTATTCATGGCTATTTATTTTATTTTGTGTGTATGTTAAAATACTGGAAGTTTTTCTTCAGCAAGATGGACTTTGATTATATTTATTATTTATTTTACTATGCATGTCAAAATAACTTTTTGTAACATATCAAAACTGCTTTGTTATTGCATGTCAACATGTTTTGTAGCATTTAATAAATAACTAATTGAATTGTAAATACGTAGTAAAATTACAACCTACTTATGTCCAATCTTTGCAAAGCCAAAAAAAAATAATTGTAACAATGTCACTCCAAAAGGCAAACATCGTATTGAAAATAGTGATGTACCTAAAGGGTAGTTGAAGAAAATACGTAGACGTAGTGGGACAAAGGGCTGGACAAATCTTTATTTTGTAGTAAAATTGTAGCTGAAAAGAAAACCAGCGATACAGACCATCGATCGCTATGTAGTAATAATAGAAATCGATGATACAAACATACGTCTTTTGGTTTAGTCATTAGATGCTAGACGATATAGATTTGTAACTTGGTATGTATTTCAAAAATTTTGATCCATTATAGGTTGTTTTCTTTTCAAACAATTTTAATCGATGCTGATCAGTCTGGACATAATAGTATGTCTAGTTTGAACCGGTACAACGATGTTTAATAATTTTTTTAACTGATTGTCCGTTTTCCCGTAGTGGAGCGAAGAGGGTGACCCGTGAGAGTGCACTACCTGTAGGTCTATTGACTATTAAGATCAATAACAACCGAAAATGAATAAAAACATCATAAGCAATTCAATTTTAAAAGACATTTAAAAACAGTGTTAATGTAAACATAAACAATAAAGCAGTCTGTGACCAGGTTATGTTAAGCCTTATTGCCACCACTACCATCGACTATATAAACAATTTACTACTTCTCACTTTTGATCAGACAAAATACAAAAGCCCAGCGGCGCTGCCAACTGTCCAAGAAAAAATCCCCGCCTTGCAGTTCACACTAAAGTAGGGCGGTAGTTCGACGTACAACATACAAATTAATGCGCTACGCTCTCTCCCATGATTATATTATTCTTCATGACGAAGTGGGGATGTAGAAGCGCCAGAAAATATATTTAATCTCTTACTCTTCTAGTAAGTAGGTTACGACAATTCCATTAAAAATAAGAATAAAGAAATATATACGGGGGCCTCTGCTGCCAATGCCTTGCGACGTCCCGGTCGATGCACAATAAGCTTCGGTTGACGTGCTTGGACCATGAGTCCACCCTCTTACAACTTTACGTCCCGGTCACACGGGCAAAAGTGTTTTCCAACCACTACTCATTTCTTGATCGAAAACGTTAAACTTTAACTCGAGTCGAAAAAATTCGCTTTACATCCTAGGTGAAATATACCATCATCACATTTTTAATCGGTATATACACCAGTGTACCCAAAAAAATTTAAAGCCAAACACTTAAAGGAAGCCACCCAGGCCATTAAATACAAGTTTGTTTATAACAAACATGTCCTTACTTTTAAAGTCATAAATAATGTACTGTAGTCTATTAGAAGCTGTCAGTGAAACTAATGTAGCAACTGAAGATTTAAATTGTGCATTCTAGGAACTATTCTAGGTCCACACCGATCGTATCCTAATCCTAATTTCTATTTTACAGAAAAGAAGATTTTCAAATAATGTTTAAAACCATGAAATACACAAAACTTTGACCAATGGATACATACCATGAAATAAGAGCAGAATATCAATTAGTACATGCCTTAAACACCTTGTTTCAAAATAGCTACTGTCCAAAGATCAGCCAATAATATACTAAATAGGATATCAACTGAATGGAATTTCAATAGAATATGCTAAATAAAACACGCCTGAAAATACATCTGAGCCTACTGTTGGAATATTAACTAAAAAGTGGTGAAGCAAAATCCAAACGACTAACATCAAGTTGGCAAATCCATGTGAGTCAGAGCTCTGGCGAATCAAAGTATAATCTAAGTCTATCAGAACAAAAGCAAAAATGTGTGACAAAGATTTACCTGCAAGAGCGCTTTCAGAGGGCCAAACTAAGAGCGTTAGGCTTGGAAACAAAACATCGAATCAATGTCAGATATGTTACAAAACATTAATGACAAAAGTCAGTCTGGAAAAGCATATTACGTTAAGGCATCCTGAAGGGCCTTTTGTAAAATGTTCAATATGTAACAAAACATTAAAATTCCTTTCTCTGAAGTTCCATATGTTTAACCATTCTGATGAACGACCTCTAAAATGTGCATTATGTAGCGAAACATTCAAGTCTAAAACAAAATTAAAGGTTCACATGTCAAAGCATACAGGTGTACTTCCTGAAAAATGTCCGTTTTGTGAAAAACGTTTTGCATATAAACACAATATGAAGGGGCATATAATGATGCATAAAAACATTCGACCTGAGAAATGTACTTTATGTTTTCAATCATTCACAAGGAAGGCCTATTTAAGGGAACATATGATGACACATACTGGAGAACGTCCCAACAAGTGTCTAATGTGTGATAAGACTTTTGCTCAAAAATGTAATTTAAGGACGCATATGTCATTGTGGCACGCAGGCAAACAAACTAATGAAAGTGCTGTATCCAGTAAATCTCACACAAAAGCTCGTTCTAAACAGGGACGACATGAAATATGTGTTATTTGTAAACAAACGTTTGAAAAAGTAGACCTAACAAATTTGAAGCGGCATATGCTGAGGCATACCGGGGAACGACCTTGGAAATGTTTAACATGTAATAGAACCTTTTTAAGGTCAGATGCTTTGAAGCGTCATATGTTGACTCATACAAATAAACTTGCTGAAAAATGCCCAACATGTCCTAAAACATTCAATCAAAAGTACCAATTAAAGAAGCATATGTTAACGCATTCGTCTGATACGTCAACGCACACACCACGTCAACAGCATGAAAAATGTCCAAAGTGTTCTCAAACGTTCACACGAAAGTGGTCGTTAGAGCGGCATTTGTCATCACATTGCTCCAAACACAAATAGAACATGAGATCCGTATAGGACTTTTGAATATGATGCATTAAATCATATATCTAATCTGTTCTTTGTACTAATCCGATCTTCTCTATAACATTCTTGATTTAGGTGTATTTATTTTATTCGTTCTTGTTGTTATATACATATACAGGGTGACAATTAAGTTTTAGGACTAATGTATGACTTTGTAAAAAAAGAGAGAGCCCTGTTAAACAGAAATCAATACCGCAAATCGGACCTCAAAAGGACAATCGAACAAAAAATGACAGCTGTTCAAAAATTAATTGAATTTGCAATGGCACTACCTCCTGAGGGGCGTGTGCCAGAAGACAGGAGAAAATCATAAACTTTAACATAGGATGGTATAAGCACATCAAATTAAAGGTCTTCATTCGTAGAATACAATGCCGCACATTTTAGCTAAAAAAAAACAATTAAGAATAAAATGGCAGCCGTTTAAAGATTCAAAATAGCAGATTCAAGAAATCTTTGAACGGCTGCCATTTATGACTATTTGCCTATTTAAAGTCTGGTTTGCGATATTGTTTCTAGTTCAACAAGACATTTAATTTGATGTACATATCGACATAGGCTTACGCTAACCTTTACTCCCTATGGGCCGTCCCTCATAGGTTAATCCGATCATCATGTACACAGAAAATTAGCTATTACCAGTGATGAAGTGCCAAATTCTGTTGTGTTACCTCTTTACGTTTTATATTTATAGAGTCGTCCTAAGACTTAATTGTCATCCTATATATATTTAATTCATTGCTAAAATTTACTTTAAATATGTCATTATTTGTACTGTACATTATTCATGGCTATTTATTGTATTTTGTGTGTATGTTAAAATACTGGAAGTTTTTCTTCAGCAAGATGGACTTTGATTATATTTATTATTTATTTTACTATGCATGTCAAAATAATTTTTTGTAACATATCAAAACTGTTTTTTTATTGCGTGTCAACATGTTTTGTAACATTTAATAAATAAATAATTGAATTGAATACGTAGTAAAATTACAACCTGATTATGTCCAATCTTTGCAAGGACTAAATAAAAACTAATTGTAACAATGTCACTCCAAAAGGCAAACATCGTATTGAAAAGAGTGATGTACCTAAAGGGTAGTTGAAGCAAATTATGTAGACGTAGTGGGACAAAGGGCTGGACAAATCTTTATTTTGTAGTAAAACTGTAGCTGAAAAGAAAACCAGCTATACAAACCATCGATCTCTATGTAGTAATAATAGGAATCGATGATACAAACATACGGCTATTGGTTTAGTCATTAGATCCTAGACGATATAGCTCGTTAAACAATTTAAAAACTACTACAAATAAAATTTCTAATCTCACTGTATACTAGGTATTTAAATTATAACCGCTTTAGGTGTTTGAAAACATATTTTTGAACCACAAATAACTCTTTGGCAGCTGTTCGAAACGAACAAGATGGCCGCTAACCTTGAAGGACACTTAAGATTCCTTGGAGGCTAGCGATCATCTTGGATAATTTCAAACTACTGCTGAAGAGTTAATTAACATCAACAGGTAGTTTTCAAACACAAAAGTGGTCATAATGTAAATATCTAGTAGACTGTGAGATTAGAAATTTTGTTTGTTGTTTTGCGTGTATTTCCAAGTGATTGTAATTTAAATATCTAGTATAGTATGATATTATTATTTTGGTTTGTAGCTTTTAATTGTCTTGTGAGTTAGAACGTGTAGGCTCCAAACGGACTACACTCCTCCACATTTACAACCTTTTACAATTGGAGATTAATAGACATTGAAGGGATAGTTTTCTCGTAAATAAGAAACAATCAATTTATCAATAGTAAATCGCTTTCTTTATTATTATTAACTATAAGAATAATTTATTATATTGTTAATTATTTGTTAATCACAAAGCCTATTTATTTTGAAACCGTAGTTTGTTAGCAGTTTGGACTTCGGTTGAGGATTAAACTTATTTTCACAATTAAAAATAGTATTTGAGGTATACAATGACTATTCAATAACATTTTTTTATATATAATACTATTTCTTTCAATATAAATAACAATACTAATAACGCTTTACTATTTCTTTAAATCACAAAGTGAACATGAAAATCGTAGGACTGTGCACTGTGGTTTCAAAGCTCCGAAATGAGGAAGTATTGTAATGTTTGCCATTATTTCTAAGAAAATTTGTAGGCTACCTACTTGAAATGGGAACTTTACTGCATATAGGTAAGTTGATTGGTGGATACCACCATATTGGACACAGTTCACTTTCAGGGACTTTGCTGTGTGAGTAACTAATGACAGTTCAGTTGCAAGTATTACTACATTGGAACACACATGTAGTCCCTACTCCTTAGATAAGACCTGACAAATTTCATCTTACTATTTTTTTACTCCTTGATAAAAATAACTATTTTATTACCATATTTCAAATTAGCTTAAAATAAACGAACATTCGCCATTTTTAGCGAATTTCCCATATAGGGAATAAGCTATTACCGTAGGTCTCATGGTAAGACCTAGACCTGGGACCGATTTACTTTTTCGTTTTGAGGTCCCCAGAGGCCAAAAACACCATCCGTTCAAATTCATATTATATATATATATATATATATATATATATATTTATTTATTTATATATGTGTCCGTTAGCGCGATAACTCGAGCAAAATTGATCCGATTTTGATGAAATTTGGTACAAACGTGTAAACCTACATTTATTCGAACGAGTTCGCGAACCAGCATAATCGGACCATGGGATCAGGGGTTTATGGGGGGTTTTATGGGGTAAAAATGGGGTTTTCTCATTTTTGACCCTAAAAACTTTAAATTTCTAAATTTCTCTCTAGACCATTTTGAAGAGCTTAAAAAAACAAATAATTTAGTATATTGAAGTTTTTTTTAATGTTCATTGACTACGGAGAAAATTAAAAAAATTGTAAATTTAAAATTCCCATGTTATTCTTATGGAGAATAAATAAACTGTTCTAGTTTGCTTGTTTATGGATATATTTTAATCAAATTTGGCAATTTGGCTTATTTCATACTAAGCTATCAATATTTCAATTCAAAAAAACACACCTCAACATCTTCCCCGTAGCAGCAAACCTAACTACTCACTAAAATTAATGTTATTTAAATAGGAAATAAATCTGAAAATTTATAGGGAATATTTTAGTAGAAATCAAGCCGGGTAAATGGAAATTCGCTTAGTATGCAGGTTTGCTGCGACGGGGGTATTTTTTTTTAACGTTGTTATGTGAGCCAGTCGCAGAATGTGCTAGTGCCTAAAACTCTATTTTATATACAGGGTGTCCCGGAACTCTTTACCAATATTTTAGGGCATTGCTCCTGGGTAAGAAACGTACCTAAATATCATATTTAAATTGTCCGGAAGTCCTTAGTTACTCACACAGCCACCATTTTGTTTTTTTCATGTATTAATTTTTTTCTAAAGAATGGTTAAACATACGAAATGGAAACTTCACACACACATTTATGACAACTAGACAAAGCTACCAAAAAATTATCACGATTATTCAAATTCATAAAACAAAATGGTGGCCATTTAAATTTTTTTCAAAATCAATGGTTTTTGAGTTATTTCAGAAAGAAAATTTTAAATGGCCGCCATTTTGTTTTATGAATTTGAAAAATCTTCATAATTATTTTGTAGCTTTGTCTAGTTGTCATTAATGTTTGTGCAAAGCTTCCATTTCGTATGTTTAACCATTCTTTAGAAAAAAATTAATAACTGAAAAAACAAAATGGCGGCTGTGTGAGTAACTAAGGACTTCCGGACAATTTATATATGATATTTAGGTACGTTTCTTACCCAGGATCAATGCCCTAAAATATTGGTAGAGAGTTCCGGGACACCCTGTATAATTATTTTTTAGATTTTTTTGGTGACCAGGTTGATGGGTCATAACAGTTGCTGTCATCGCACATTCTATAGTGAAATACTTCTACACCATTTGATTTTTTACTAAAACCATAGTTGTCAGAATTCTCCCTAAGAGTCCTTGGAGGCAGGTGGACGTTTTGGATGAATTTCAAACAGCCGCTGAAGAGCTATTTACCATACAAAATTTATTTTTTTTAATACTAGAGTAATTGAATTTTTCTAGGGCACTGAGGAATTAGAAATTAACTATGTGGTTTAATAATCGTTTTTCCAATAGAGGCTTTGAAAGCTGGAAGCCATCTTTGATTTTCCCGCCATAAGAACAATACTAATTTGACACAGTCACTGACGATCTCAAAATATCGTTTCAAATACCAAATGGATTAGAAATGTGAGATTAGAAATATTCTTTTTTAGTTTTATAATTGTTTTATGAGTTAAAACAGCAAGGCTCCAAGAATGCTTGATTACTCTTGGTTAACCAGATGTTTCAGCTTGTTTGATTCCATAAATTCATGCTAAAGTCGCAGCATACTGTAGTAGGACTAAGTCGTTTTGATACCACAATCTGCAAATTCTCCAGGCCCCAACACCTGCTAACTCGCAGAGGGCGTTTAAGTACCTAAGTGTATTGTTGTTTGATTTACAACTTATTACAACAACTGATTATAATGGGGGTGAAATAAATGCACACTTTAACGAGTATTATAGGAATCGTACTATCCTAGATTCGTGCATAAGTCAAGATTTGTATTGTTGCAACTTTTGATTCGACAATGTTAATAATTTAATTATATAGGTCTTTAAATGCTGCGAATAGTTTTTCCTATATGCTATCTTATAAAAGTATAATCTCAAGATACTGTAATTACTTATAATAATTATAAATTATCATTTCAGGATATTTGAGACTTTAAAGTAGACTTTTCACCGTAAGATAAACTTAAATTAATCGTTAGCAATTAATGCCGGTTTCGTTTACGAAAATCGACGCTAACTTTTTTACTTTCTTCCCCTAGAAGGAGTGTATTATTTTCTTCAAAAATTTCGAGTTAGAGTTTTGGGTGGATATATATCAGTTTCGGTTCCACATGAACCCCAAAAAGTAGTATTCGAAATAATTTATGTGTACTGAACTAACTATAGACCACACCTGTGGTCCAATTTTTTGTATGTAGGGTACTAATACATGGGATCTACAAGAGGGGTTTCTAATTTTTTGTATTGATTTTAATGCAGATTTCCCTTTTTCACAAACGTGGCCATACCGATTTAGATTAAAATTTAGTATTTTATGGTTCTTTTCATTCGAAATAAAATTGTGGAACCCCCAAGGCTGTTGAACGGAAAAAAGGTTATTGAATTCGTTTGTGATCTCATCTATAAAAACATAGTTACTTACATATTGTAGTGATTGTTGACAAGCTAATGGGAGAATGTATGTGACAGTTTACTGTTATTTTTTTCGCACTTAATTCTTTGGTTATAGTGCCAGATGACAATCAGACATTTTTTAATAGATCGTTTTATGGTTTTATTGTGACATTTTCTTATTGTTTATTGTGTTTAACGTTAGGTCGGTTTATTGTCAGATGGTGAAAAGTTAAGTGAACATGAACACGAACATGCTTCTTATATAAAATACGCCATACAACATCATCGACAAGGGAGTAGGTTTAATCTATGATAGCAACACTTCCCTCGTACTTTAATGTTTGCTTTTACTAAAGAGATAAATACCGGCAATGTGATTATTATTTAGAGGAAATTTAATCCCTTAGTTGAACCGCTCCGTTAATCTCCTTGATTAGAACACCGCAGCTTGGGAAATTGCATCTCTAACTGAATATCAAAAGCAGCTCTAATTAATTAAACAAATTAATTCTGCTGCCACGGTGAACACTTACCCTATAATGCAATCTAGTTTATTTTAGCGAATTTCCCATAGGGAATAAGCTATTTATTATAGTTACCATAGTTAATTTATTATAATTAAACTATTATTATCATTGAATTTGGACAGTACTTGTACGTCTTAAAACATTGTTAAATCTGAAGATAGTTATATTAAATGCCTTATATTGTTGTCGTTTGGGCGATAGTTTCGAATGATTACCCCTTTCTACTATTTCAATGTACATGTATTGTGCTTTTCCACCTAATCCAAGAACTATACATTTTTTATGTATGGAATTCTGTTCATCTTGAGTGACATAACCTTATATTTCCTAGAGCCTGGTATATGGTATTGAATAAAAACTAAATATTCTGGATTCGTCTTAACTTGCACCATTTTTACAACTTCCTCTAGGTATATGATCGTGCTACTCATACTACACTCAGCTCCATTCATACTTAGCATAAAATACCTACTTTCGCATGGTTGCAATTAAAACTAAAGTATTAAAAGTAAAGTGAAGTATATTTACTTTTAACTTAAACGAAATCGCAGCATATTACTTCCAATGTTGTATGTATGCATTTTATAAATTAAACGTTTCATTCATTGAACTTTTAAGAATTTTTATTTGTTACACCTTGATCCGAAGCTTCTTAGTTTAAACCTAATGTATCTAAACCTGATTGGTCTAAACCTCCTGTTCTGGTGAATGTAAACCATGTTAGTCTGGACCTAATGTCTTTTTAAAACCAACCTTAGTTGTAATTGCTACTTCTTCAGTAGAAGTGTTTACTTTAGTTGAGGTGAATGATGGACTCAATTTCTTAGTTCAAACTAGAGTTTTTCATGGAAACTCTACATGTAAGATCAAATGCATCCATTTGATGGTAATTTGCAATATGCATCTAGCAAATACATAGTGATTTTTGAATACTATAACAGAATTTTACTATCTGTTGAATTAACTTTCCACACACCAGAATCGCTTCTAGCTCCTGAAAACCAGGACTATTACCATATAAGAAAGCGTAACGCACCGTGTTTCTTGACATAAATGGCAAAACTTTGGTAATATTAACTCAAACCAAACCAAGAGATACCTCGAATGCTATTCTTATTTTATGCAAAGGTTATATTTTGTTTTTATTTATGGGTTCGAAACACCTAAATTGATCTAAATTCAGTGAATATATTTTTTTCATTTCGAGATACATTTCTTTGTAAAATGGTATAGTGTCCAACAAGTTTGTTTTTAATGCTACAATATATTTAGGATATATACGCAGGATTATTTATCGTAGTGTTGACCTTCTCACACTGTATTTTATATTATAAGGGGCAAACTATACTTTTTATGTCACGATTCACATCTTTGGACACAATGCTCTGTCACGAACAGTTTTCCTCATTATTTCAGGGTATGACTAGAAGCTAACGGAATTATAACTTATAAAATACATTAGTGATTGGCAGAAGTTGAACCCGGGCCTGAGGGACCGAAGTCCCGCATATTGCCATTAAGACCATCTTGCTTCCTGGATTCAAGAAACTAGTCAACTACACTGTGGATTAAACTTATATTAAACTTACATTAGTTATACAAATTAAATTATCAAAAAGTGCTTATACATTTTGCTTATAACAATTTTTTTCAGTGTTGTATTTTTTAGCATTTGTTTCATTCTACAGTACTACAGTATTCTATGTTTAATAAATGAAGGGCACACGGGAAAAAGGGGCTCATTGCATTTTTTTAGATTTTGAGATTGGTACACAAACAAACGTAGCCATAGCAACCAAGTCCATGTAGCGTATTATTGTGTTGATATGTCTCATAGGTTAAGCGGGAAATACACGGTTTTAAATCAATACACTCGGGAAGAAGGAGCTCATTTCAAGCAATTCGTGGGAAAAAGGAGTTCATTGCAGTCCTTTCAAGCAATAAGCGAGAAGAAGGGGCTCATTGCAGTTTCTCCTGGTGGCGACAACTTGTACTACTCCCAATATCATTTACTGTAACTAGTTTGAGGTTATGTTTTTGTTCCTAATAGTGTTGTGAAGAGTGTTTTAGCAACATTTTACAAACTAATATTTGCGTAAGTTAAAAACTATGGATGAAAACGAAGATAGTAGTGATGAGCTTGTGAAAAAGTTTGGAAATGACAGCAAAAAGCGAAAGTCGTTCGGAAGAATGAAAGAAGTAAGTAAGAAAATTAAACTTATGAGTCATGAGTCAGGCCCAAACTGCCTATGCCGTCTAAAATGTTTTGAATCAGTGCCGAAAGAAACAAGGGTTGAAATACTTAAAAATTTCAACCTTCTTGAGACCCATGATTTACAAAATTCTTATCTTTGCGGCCTAATTACTGTCCTTCCAGTACGCCGTCCTACAAAAAATGAAAATGCTCGAAAATGTGATGCAGTGTATAAGTATAAGATCCGTGGTTTAATTAATGGCAAGATGACAGAACAAATCGTGTGTAAGAAAGCATTTATTGCTATACATGGCATCAGCAAGAAAAAAATTGAATATCTAGTCAGATCGTTAAAACTCGTTGGAGTGTCCCCAAAAGATAAACGAGGTAAACATAATAATAGGCCACATAAACTGACAGATGACGAAATAAACTGTGTAAAAAGTCACATATCGTCTTTTAAAGGGCGTAGCAGTCATTATGGCTTACATGACTCGAACAAACTCTATCTGCCCGAAGAGTTAAACGTTGTAAAGATGCACATGATGTTTAAGGAAAAATTTCCTACGTACAAAGTATCGTACGAATCTTACAGAAAAATCTTTTGTGAAAGCTTCAACATTGCGTTTGGATACCCTAGGACGGACACATGCAGCATTTGTGATCAGTTTACGGTAAAGGTCAGATCATTAGAATTAGAGTTAAAAAATGCTCCTGAATTTGAAAAAGCGAATATTACATTAAATATTAGGAAGTTGAACGTTGAAAATGAAGTTCACAAGCGAAAAGCTGAACAGTTTTATTCTAGGAAAAGACAAGCAAAACGACAAAGCAAGGTAGATGATAGTCTAGAGGCCATTTGTATTGATTATGGAAAGAACTTACAGGTTCCTAACATCCCTACAAACGACATATACTACAAAAGACAATTGTCCGTTTATGCATTCAATGTACATGTTTTGTCCGATGCCAGAAGTGTATTTTACATGTATCCTCAAACAGAAGGAGGCAAAGGCAGTGACGAGGTTTGTACATTCGTACACCATTTTGTTTACAACTATTTGGATGAAAATGTCAAACATTTACGCATTTTTGCTGACTCTTGTGCTGGGCAACAAAAGAACTTTACTTTCTTCAGATTTTTGTTCAATTTAGTGAACTATGAAAACAAGTTAGAATCGGTAACAGTGACGTTCCCCATTCGGGGTCATTCCTATATGGAAAATGACAAGAATATGGGACTAATAAACACCAAATCCAGAGCTGAAGTTCCTGAAGATTGGGTCAATATAGTTAAAGAATCTAGAAGAAACCCATCACATTTTGAGGTAGAGGTTGTAGATCATGAACAAATTAAAGGATGGACCAAATTCTTGGATGAAAAATATGCTACAAAGTGCCCGTTTAAATCTCGTCCAATCCGAGAGCTTCATATTGTTCGTGGTCAACATGTCCAATTCCGGAAGAGTTATTTTGGGGCATTGGAAAGTGCTTCTATCTACAAAACTGTCCCAAACAGAGGTCGTAAGAAAAAAAACCAGCCATTGCCACCAGTCAATGTTGGAAGGTCGGATGAATTCAACCTTCCTGATTCGTGCTATAAAGGTAAGCTATTAAGTTTATGCCAATCACTTAATTTAATTTTCGCCTGATCTAACCAAACCTAACCTAGGTAACCTAATCTAATCTATCGATTACAAGCATAGGCCTACCCTAACTTAATCTAACCTAACCTTACATAGGCTAATATAACCCATCCCAAAGAGTAAATGAATAAATAAAAATGCTTTGTATGCATAATTATTATTATAAATAAATAAAAATGTCTAATTGTTCAAACCTATTAACCTTCTGAGTGCTCGATTAACTGCTATAGGTATGTTTGACACTTGGCGCAGACATTTACATAAATGGATATAAAAAACTCATTTTGTAGCTTAAATGTATAAAACTATATAGTTTATGAAAGAAAATAAAATGAGCGATAGAGCAATATGAAAATCACAATTTTTTCAATAGGTTTAGTGTGAGTAGGCTATAGGCTCAATTTCAGAAATACAAAAAAGATACATTATTTTAGTTTATGAAGCCTGTTACGTGATTTTGGTACAATAAATAAAAAATCAAGATAAATAGTTTGTCCAGAATTTAATGGGGGGTTAGAAAATATACATTATTATAGGTAATAAACATCAAGACACGTTTTAACAACAAAAACCCAAAACTAAGAGTCACGATCGCGAACGTTAGCAGTTGGAGGGTTTATTAATTTTATAAATTTAAGTGGCTTAACCACTATGATATATTGGATCTTTTCAGATTGTTTGCCCTTAAAAGAAGCAAAGTACAAAGACCTTCAAGACTTGAAGAAATTTTGTAGCCCATCTGCAGCCGAATACTTCGAGAAACTATTGCATGAATGATGAAGACACATTTTAACCCTATTCAGGATTTACAGTACTAGATGTTTTCTTGAGTTCTTTGGATAGTTTTGTTAATTTTATTTAAATAAAACTGTATTTCTTGATGTGTCAAATGAGTGCATGTTATTTTAACCTACCATTACCCTATCTAACCTAAAAAAACTGGGGAAATAAGAGTTCATTGCTAAAATGAGCCCTTTCTTCCCGTGCAATTTGTGTACTAAAAGCAACTTTTTTAAAATTTTAATTAAATACAATGTATAAATTAATATTTTTAACACTCTATTGCACAAAATAACAATTATGTATTTAGTAAGTCATCTACTAATTTTTTAAAGACCAAATTTAATAAAATTATTCAACTTGTAAACAGAAAACAGCTGTTCCTGAAAAATCTATAAAATGTTGATGAGCCCCTTTTTCTCGTGTACCCTTCAAATGTAACTGAGATACTAAAACGTAAACCAAGTTGCCATATATTTGCCTTAGCTTTGGGAGATAGAGTCAGTCAAGAAAAAGGGACATTTCAGGAGAGATTTGGGAAATTTATTGCTGTGTTGTTGGCTACGCCGACTTAACAATAGACCTCCCGGTGATAAAGACGTGTTTAGGTTTACTGTGAACATATTTTGTCGGGACTTTTCTCAACACCATACAAACATTTCTAACACTGCAAATGTTTACTACACGTTTACAAAAGGTTTTTGTCTGCTGTTTAAACGTTGATCCCTACCATTTATCTTGAATTTTGCTTGGTCTTTATTGAAAAGATTTATGACGAAGGTAATTAATTTATGCCGAAGGGCAAGTAATTCCTCTTGGGTTGAACAGATTTTTCATAGATTTTTGTTTTTACTTGTTAACAACATACATACAGTGTTACACAAAGTGGTGTAGCCAATATCAATATCCACCATGTAAACATACAATTATTTTTTATTAAAAATATTTTGCATTGCATATAAACATTTCTACACAAATGAAGTCCAAACTAAAAAAAATAACACCTTTGTGAAATACTCACTTTCCTCACTACTTATTCTTTGCCATTGTAAAGATAATCAGAATTCTATATTTAATATAGGCCTAATTAGGAAATATAGCACACTAAAACTCATCAAACCCCCATTTTGTCAAACTAATTCTGATTTTGCTTGTCCAGTTTCCCTAGTGTAGTTTTAAGATTTATTGTTAACTGTCAAGTGATTTTTAGCACAGCAATAACTAGAACAACAGCGTGGATAATCTATATATTAATAGACGAGCACGTTTCTTGAAAACCTTTTTTCTCAGCTCGTGTACATCGCAGTAAAAATCTACGAATACTATTAGAAAGATATTTGCCTGTCGATGTGCAGAATACCTTTATAAATTAAAATAGGCTGAAATATAATCACAAAAATGAATTTAAAATTGAAAAACATGGGTCTTATGGGTTGCCATGCTGGTGACAAAATATCAACGAAATAATAAAAAGAAATGGAAGAAATTCCAATCACATGTTGTATTTACAGTGTGGGGTGAAAATAGAGAAGTATGCACATTACAGATTTTTTCGAGTTTTCGACCACTGGACTACATCTAGTATTAATAAATAAGTAATTCCAGTAGGTACATATACTTAATACTTTTTATTTTATGAATAAATGGCAAATAAATGAATGAATAAACTGGAAATTGAACAGTAAAGCTCAAATAAAATTTCTCAGAGTTTGAAATCAGTTAATATGTGTACGACCAAAGTTCTTCAATTTATTTTCATAAAAATTTAGCTCTTTTGGAAATAGACAAAGTTTGTATATTATTTTTTAATTTGTTACCTAGTTTTATGTAAATATAACATAACCAACTGTAATTGTCTACACCAAACATTTATACATTTATCATTCTAGGAAAATTTAGTTTTATATATTGTATTCGGATGAAAATCACAGTTTCAAAATATAAGGTAAATTCAACAAAGTATGGTGATTGATATTTAATTGTTTAACTATACACTTGTTAAAGAATGTTTACACCTAAACATATAATTCTTAATGAACGATGAAAAATATATTATAATATATAAATAATATATAATAATAAATACATAATATATTCTATTTGTTTGGCTTTCATACTATTAAAAAATATATATACTGTTATATACATGTACAGTAAACTATAGGTATGCACTTAGGCCTATATAGTCAAAAGACATACGTGGTAGCATAGATTAAAGGAGTAGACACTCCTTTAATCTATGTCTACTTATTTAATCTATGATGGTAGCCCAATAATATACATACTACACTACCATACATGTGATAAAATGTTTAATTACAATATACATATTAATACAGCACCAGCTAAAATTGTATGATATTTTCATAAATAAACACGACATTTAAATAATTAAATATCCCATAGAAAGAAATATTTTATAAATAAACCGTTGGCTGAAACTCGAAGAACGGAGAGTTTTCTTCGACTGACACTTTTGTTTGGACTGTCAAGACCTCGCTTTTGGCTGAGATTGTTTACTCTTAGAATTTATACATTTAAAAGAACAAATAATAAGTCTAAATGTTTTATGTGGAAATATTTTAGTGAAAGTGCAACCAGGTAATGTAAATTCTTCCACTCAGCAGGCTTGCTGCGGTGGGGTATTGTATTCTACGATAAATGTTCAAGTAGGGGCTTTAACCTTTAGTTAAGAAAAAAAAACGTATTTCATCTTAAACAGTATTCAAGGGGAATTTTTATTATTTTTGTGTAAACAACTGAAAAAATATGTATGATAGTAAAAGCTTAAATCAGTCTACTATTCCATTATAGTCATAAAGCCTAATCGTAGTCAGCTGTTTCCAAGTCTAATTGAAAGTAAATATTTAGTGATTAAACAAGGTTCTGCTGGTTGTTGTTTGATGTTTGCATTGAATCACTTTGTAAACGTGTTTGCTTCAATTAGTTTGTAATAATATATTCAATTTTGTTTTAACAACTCAATGAATTGTCTTCGATTGTTATTGGGTGAAACATAAAATACTTTTAGTACCAAGAAACCCACGAATTTCAAAAGGAATTATAATTTTAATAACCATAACCTTTTTACAGTACCAAAATATATATTTTTAATATAGAGTTTTTGTTTGACATAAGCTCATAAGTAGTCTATTACATATTAAGTCCTCATAAAAATATAGACCAATAATTTTATATTGAATATTTAAATATTGAATATTCCATCATATTCACCAATGGCATATTGCTTAAAAGATTTTCAAAATGCAAAACTTGAGAATCAACCATTTTGATATGATCTGTGGGTAACACCTGGTGCTTCAGAAAGCTTTCTCTTATTTTATTAACTCGTCAGGATTGTATTAAGAAACGTATTTTTTCAATTACTGAAAATGAGATTTCGTTTCTGCTCATAACGGTACCAGCTGCTGCCTTTGTTGAAAACAATATTTCCTAAGATCTAGAAAATGTGCTCTTCTCTTCTAAATGTTTTTAATTATTATTTTTATCACTAAAATAATCTAAAGAACAATATCCTTCACTTGTAGGTCAAAATTGGTTATTGTAATAACAAATTTCACTTATGGATTACTTACCTTAATCGTAACAAATTAAAAATCATAAACCTGCCTAAAGAATCGTTAAAAAGTTTATTTAATTAATATTCTTAAGGGAAAAGTCAATCTGTTAACTGTTTTGAAGTAAAAACGACTCAAGACCGCCTTCGTAATCTCTACTTAGCAGCAAAGTTGACTTCAACATTTCCAGGCCCGAAGTTATGACAGGCTTTAGGATCTCAGTTGTACAGTCAAAGTTTTGTAGATTATAAACAGTTGGAATAAAACTCACAAATGAAATTATGTATACTTTCCATCACTGACATTTTTAGAGCTTATAACTCGCTGTAAATTTAATAAAAGTAAATTATTCACGAATAAAAATCCATAATGCAAATTGTAAACGATCTTCATCCGTCTGCATACTATACCGAAATTATTATATGAACATGTTCTATTTAGTTATAACATATTATTAATTCGTTCTATCACTTATTACGTTAATCCCTTCACTACGTTTTGCACGTATTTTATGCTAAATGCATGATGAGTGTAGTTGGGCTTGCATGAGCTGTGTAGCTTTGTTACTGAATATGATCAGTTCTTTTTAGCCAAGGACATGTTTTGAAAACCCAATTATCAAGCACATGGGTCGAGTAATTGACGATCAAATCGATACTAATAATAATACAGTGCAGTCTGGAAGTACTGGAAGGACCTTATTCTTCCATTCTTATCTTGAGTTGTCCATTTACTGATTAATGATTGAACTGGCAGCGCTATAATTAGAAGAAGAACACCAAAACATGGTTTGATAATGAAATTTGACCAAAGAACATGTCTAATTTGTAGACATCTGGTTTTCACGTTGCAACGTTACATTGTTTGTTTTGGAACTGTTATTTACAATAGTTGAAAATTATTGAACCGTTGAATAAAGTCTGCAACCGTGCAACTTTTACGGCAAGTTCTACAATCGATGTTTTTCATCCCTTGGCAAAGCACGCATACTACATACAGTATCCTTTGAAAATTTAAAAGTAAATACATTATTTCTTAGTGTTACCTTTTTTGGTTTGTATTTAATTTTAGGTATGCATTAAAAATATTAATTTACTAAATTAGCTAAACGAATAAGCCTGGTTTAGTAAATCTAATGCAATAAATTTCCTAAAATATCCGACATCAATTTAAATGCATATATGTATGTTACTAAATCGTTTGTTTGTTAGGCCTATTACATTTTGTTAAAGTTTTTCCTGAGACTTTTTATAGACTACTGTAAATGTTTCTTACTAAATGTATATTAACAGGAACTTCTGGACATTTAAATAAACTCAGGTCTTATTCAACTAAAGTTTTACTAGTTTAAAGTTACAACCAGAGTATAAACTTATCAACTGATTAAAACTCACTCGGGAAATTAAAATCCAAGTGAAATCTTGAAAAAGAAGAAGTTTTTGTCCCTCCAATTCTGAAACTAAGTAAGTAAAAAGTTTCAAAGCTAAGCAACAAATTAGGACCGAAAGTTTTAATTAAAACTGCT